AGCTATTTAACATATGTCTTTGTTCATAAGCGTTCCTCTCTGGAATGACAATATTGGATTTTATCACAATAGCATGCAAAAATAAAAATGTGGGGGAAAAAAAAATCTTCGGGATTTTCAGATTTATCTGGCGTTAGAGGTGGTGGCTATCAGGTGGTAGTTGTGTTGTTTCAGGTATAGCTAGTAATTACTACTCACCATTTTGGTGTCCTCCATGTACCATTTTGAAATATTTTGGGTACTATTAATATATATGCATCAGTGTATGGGAACTCACTCAACTGAATTTATTTTGTGATACAGTGACTGTGATAGCACAAGAGAGACTGAGTAACAGCTGATGACTCTTTGTAATTTGAGATATGTTTGGTTAATTTCAGTGTGTTTCAGTTTGTCTACAGAAGATACTGTTCACGGTGTTTTGAGGTTATTTGGAGGTTACTTTAACTAATAAGTAGGAAGTGTCAGTGCAATGATGTTCAATGCTGCCATTTAAATTCTTCTCTTTGCTACATTTTGGACTTTATGGCACGGTCAGACCTTGAAGAGCAATGGCAGAAAGCAGTATCAAGACACTTTCAGCCAAAAGAAGCGAACAAATGGAGTCCACAATCAACCAGTTAAGCAAAACTATACCTTGGTAAGAAACGTGCAGTGATTAACAGGTTCCAGTAATGCTTAACGAATGTCCAGGCCAATGTCCTGCTGAAACAAAAGTAGAGTGCATATCTAACAAAAGTATATTTGATCAGAATATTTGGTATGTATTTGTAGAAATATGACATTTCTTACCTTGTATGCATATACATCTATAGACAAGCATACCAAACTTCAAAGTTTGCATTTTGGCAGGAAGTCTTATTTTAGCAGTTGAAAATGTCATCTGTTTCAGTAGACAATCCTGCAGCTTTCCAGGTACCTGTCAGGTAATAGCCTACTGTAGTGTGTCATAATAATGATAAGTCAGTGTAGTACATGTCTTATTCATGTATGATATATTATTGTAAGCATGGAGTTCTGTTATGCAGCAATTAGATACAAAGTGATAATGCATACGCTTATTATTTCCCTTCTCTGTAGTGAAAATATTGAGATGCAGACTTGACCTGAACACCAGAATCTCATATGGTTTTTTAATCATACAGTAGAACTGTAGCGGTCTGTAAATTCCAGTATGATATTCTTGGTTTGTTACCTTTTCCTTGCAGTAACTGATTGTCTTTGTCCCCACCGTTCTGCTGGCTGGGAGAAGGCTCACTGAGATACCTCTCTCTTTTTAATATGTCTCTTTGATTCCTCCCTTCCCCACCTCCCCCATTCTTTACGGCTCTCCAATTCTACTTTGTTGGCTCTTGTGCAGCAGTGAGCCCCAGTTCTCATGCAGCTCAGCTGGCTTGTCCAGGCTTCAGTTTTTCTCGTTTACTGCCTCTAAGCTAGAGGTTTCCCATTCTGGCTTGTGATTATTACCTTCTCTCTGTTTTTCATCTGAAAGTGCAGAACCATTTACTCCTGTAAAATCCTCAGTATAGCAAGAAATGGTTAGTTGCATTTGGGTCTGAGAGTAGAAAAATGAAAGTCGAAGAATTGACTGCCCAGAAATTTGACTGTATAGAAAAAACTGTAATGGGAATCTGTAGGATCTTGATGGAAACAAGTAGAACTGTTAATACTCCACAGTTACTCTGTAGGCTTTTTACAGACTTTGTGAAATACTTCTGTGGTATTCCATTTGCATTTTCATGATTGTCAGTCTTTTGAAGTTTAAATATTTCATGTCCCAGTGATAATTTTCTAATACAATTTGGAGGCCAGGGAACTCTTAATTCTCACAGAGTGCAAAGGGCCATACTTTCCTCTGTATTTATACTTACAGCAGCATACCTGGGGCTAAAACTTAACTCTTCCCTGGAGAGTTCTAAGTTTGTGTCTCTAATGCATGCTAATTTAATTGGCAGTAGCAGTGTGTTTGCAAATACATTCCCCTTGCCCTTTGGGACAAGCTGACTGAAGAACGGGCTTATGCATGTGCAACTTTGATTCCACACCATCATATGCAAGACCTTTCCAGCTTAAAACATTTATAAAGAACTCAAAACTTTTCCCTAAAAGCCTGCATTTTAAAAATGATTTGTTGACTGTTAAAAGGTTGCATGCTTCTGAAAGACTTCTGGACTTGAAGCATGCTTACTAGATAAAATAACATGACAGAATTCATGCTGAACTACAAGTAAAATAATTCACACATCAGGAGGTGTGTCAAAGCAAATACAACCAGCATGCCTTTTAGCTGATGCTTAAGCTATGCCCCTAAGAAATGGAAGCCATTTTTTAATGAATTGTGTAATGTATGGTCATTCTCTTAAACAGAAATGTGAAAAAAGGCTTCATCCAAGAAGACTTCAGGATAACTTCGAAACCGGCAAGTACAGTCTGAATTTTCATCCACTGTCATGCATTACAGGCTGAAGGCACCTGAATAATGGTGGTCTTTCCTTGTATGCTAACCTACCAAATGTTATAAAGCTGTATTTTCTAAGGCAGTCTGAGGGGTTTGGGGTGGGGGTTTTGGGGGGTTAACTTCCTGTGCTGCTTCATGTTGGTTTTGCAGTTGTTCTCCTTAATTAAGACTGTCAGATTATACCAGGTGGCTGAATAAAAAGTAACTGAAAGCTGGTTTAGGAAAATAGCATCTGAGTCAACACAATGCTGGTAACTGAGTGTTGGTTCAAGGCTTTCTGTCCAGCTAGTAATAAGCTGCAGTTGATACTGGACTACTCTGGAGAGTGCACACAGTTCTTTACTTACTGCTCAGAAAATCGGCCATATTTCTTTCCTCCTTATTAAGAAATAACTTGCAAAACAGCACCTGTGGGTAAAACTGGCTATTGACAGTGTCTTCAGATTGCTGTGACTTTTAAGATTTGTTCTAGCCACTAGATGACTTCTAAATATGGCTGTTTGAGTTACCGTCTTCTGTTTATGACCAGGCATACACATTTTGTCATAAATATTAATTGAATATATATTTGAGGTATGGCTTTTTATTGATACTCTTATTGATAACTATCTGTTTAAAATTTTTTATGCTTTTTTCTCTTTAAGCAGATGCAGCATATGACATGTATTGCTTCAGTGAAGACCCACTGCCAGAACATGCAGAGGGACATTCTGTGGCATGGAATGGCCATTACAAATTTGCTTTCTCATCAAGAGCTTTCTTGAGTTTCAAGTTTGACCATGATGCCATAATGAAAAGTTTTGACCTCTGACAGCAAACTTAATAGGAACAAAAATCAGACTTGCCTGTTGCAATTGAGGGGGTTTCTTATCCAGCCTTACTCTTTCTCAGGAGTTTTTTTGTTTTGTTTTGTTTGTTTTTAAATGCAATGCAGGGACTGACTGGTGGTTTGGAAGGGTTTGTTCTTTTTGCAGTATGGCAGTGGCACAGTCAAGTGTTGCACTTTAAATGCAGTACAGCCTTTTTCCACAAAAGTACCTTTCCAGTGTTCAGTTCACTTGTTCCTAGCTGTGCATTAGAGGGCATTCTTTTTCCTTTGTGTTTTTTTTTTATTAACTTGCTGTGTGTTTTGTAGAATGTCATTGACTTTTTTTTTAACTGTTGAGTATACCTGCTTGCTAAACTTCAACTGCTCTGATGTAAATTATTGGACTTGTTAGTCATTATTGCATAGTACATTGCAATATTACAGCAGTGGCAATGAAACTGATACTCAGAGGACTCCTCTGTCCTAGCGATTTTGAAACCAAGTTGCACATTTCAAACCTAGCCTCAGCCTGTCATCCTTTGTGTGTCCTGGTTGCTTCCCCAAAATACCTTCCCTCCTTCACACTGATAGCTTCTGTTGGCTGGCGATCAGTAGTACTTGGAGTCAAATCTATAGGATGTTGACTTCTTGTACCTACTCTGCCTCTGTCTTCAGTAAGGATACACAAACTGGGTAGAACTTAGCCATTCAAAGTGTCTAGCTTCAACTCTTATGCAGTGTCCCCAGCTGCATAAGAAGGAAGTTGCAAAGTTTTGTGTTATCCCAGTTGCAGCTGCTTTCAGAAAGGAAAAGCTTAAACTTGTCTGTGAGAGGTTACTCATGTAGAATTTATACTGAATGTAAATAGGCCTCTAGATCTCGCTGAGGAGGAAGGCAGGTGCATGGATAATAGAGTCATTGTGTGACACTAAATGGCTTAATCAGGCTTGCAATAACTATTCTAAGGGTGTCCAGTATTGTATTCTGTGCTGTTGTCCTCAAATCTCTTGTGTAGTGTATGCTCTGTATATATCCAGTAGTACTGAATTGCACTTGCAGTTAGCATTTAAATGATGTAGCCTCAGTTGTTTTCAGCTACAATGCTTTCTTAGTAAAAATATAAAAAATTTGGGGGGGCAGGAGGGGAAAAAGCAGTAAGAGTTGAGGTGACGAACTGTTAAATCACCTTCATGTTCACATTAAGGGGTTTTGAACACGTGCTTTGCAGTTAAAGAGAAATGCACTGAAATAACTTGTCACAGCAGCTTGTGGCAGCAAGCACGTTGTCCCAGATTTAAAAATGGAGTTTTCTCTGAAGTAAAGGTAATTGGTAATTTCATAGGTTGAATGAACTATGCCCTTGTCTCATCACAGTGTATGGTCATGCACTGGGTCTTTATGCAACTCGTGTCATCCAAAACCAAAATCCTGGTCTTCCTTCAACCACCCTACTTCATCTACCCTACCTGATCTGTTACTTAGTGCTTTTCCTCAGAAATAGCTTTAGAACCATCTCCTGGTTTATTTACCTGTCTGGCACCAGGTGATTTGGGACTATAATGCTGTAATAGTCTTGGTGATGGGAACGCTGGACTTCTTATGAGTCAACAGGAGAAACAGACTGCAGCATTTCCTCCTTCTGGAGGGCAAGAGTCCTGAGGGCCTTGTCTTTCAAGACCAAATTGTGAAATAGCTCTTGCTTTGTCTCACTTCGTTTTTTAAAAAAAAAAAAAAAGGTATCCAAAGGCTGCTCAAAACAGTAAATGGTGAAGAACAGTAATTGAGAAGGTGGGATAATGCTGGAGGAGGTTATGTTACTCAGCTTCAGGTGAAAACTAATCTTTAGTTATTTCTTTAGTGTAAGTAGTTGATTTCCCAGCAAAAGTGCCTTTACTCATGGTGAGGCAGAATCTTGTATTTGGATCTCGAGGCTGCTACTGCCGGTGGAGTTAACAAGACTCTCCTAAGGCATGATTAAATACCAGGCTGTGGAAATCTTTAAGTTGATGTTTCAAATAAGTTACAGTTATATTTCATCTAATGCTCTGTGAAATAAGGGGGATATTGATGAAACAGTGAACTTGCAGCTTCTGTCAACTGTTTGGGAAATCATGTCCCAGACAGGAAGTCTTTAGAATGAAGCAAGTGTGTCCTATGAATAGGAGGTGCTAGCTGCCCTCTGTATTCACTGGGTCATTTTTTTCTTCTTAGTGAAAGGTTGGTTCAGCGTAAGAGAAATTGGTTCCTTCATTAAGCAACCCAAAGTGGGGCTTATACATATATCATGATTTTAGTAAACCTAGCCTTAATGTGAGTTGCAAATAAATGTGATAAATATGCAATAACTTACTTCTATGTATAAGGGTACTGTTTCTTGTAGTAGCATTGCTTTCTGCTTTCTCAGTAAGGTTTCTAAAACAATGTACGTGTGGTGGCATGTGATCTACCTACCTTATGGGTTCCACCGTGCCCTGCACTGTGAACATTTTGAATCGTTTACTATTGTTTATGTTCTTATTTCACCATTCTTTTATAATTAAGTATATTTCTAAGTTTAGAAGTACAGTTTACATTATCTTCTGTAAAACAGTGAAGAAATAACAAGTGAGATACAGAATTTAGTTCCCTGAATTTTTATTTTATGGGAGCTAGACACACAGAAACAAGTAACTGTTTGCATGTCAGACTGAAGAGCTGATGTTAAGATACTTGAAAAACAAACATTGCTCAATTTGAAAATGCTTGCCTGTAAGGGGTTATTCAGATTATGAATGGTCATTCAATGTTCTTGAAATTTAAGAACTCACGGAATAAATGAACATTTAACAAAGAAACCTACAAATACTTGGGTGCTGGGAATCTAGTACTAGTCTGCAGTTTCTAGTACTACATAAACTCCCTGCTTTAGTGTGAAATTTTTAGTATCTCTCCTTCACAGAATGCTCTGAACTTTGAACTCTGAAGAGTGATCTGCCTAATTGAATGACATATGTTCTGTGCTGAAATGCTATTAACATCAACTCCTTGTACATGCATGCTTTTCAAAGTAGCTGTGTCTTACATAGTTTGAAGTCTGGAAATGGTACTGGGAAGAAGAGGGAAATAGCTTTATTTATTGCACAATCAAAGTATTTTCTTTAACACAATGTAAGTTGTTTAGACGAACCTTGCATAAATAGTTTCTAACAAAATTTTGGGCCTAGTGACTGTTCCAGGCTTCTGTGCTGTGCTCCAGCCTTCCTGATTTAATTTGGTGATTTGAGAACAATATTTACTGTGTTTTTCCTTCACCTACCTGTTATAAATGTAAGTTCCTTTCTAAAACAAGGCAGGCTTTGCGTCTGGCTATTCCTAACAGACTTGCTCTCAGATTGTAATTTCAGATACAAAATTATTTTTTCCAATTTTTACTTTGTGTAGTGGAGTTGCTTTCGTTGACTTGCAGTTTATAGCAGCACTCATGTCATTCTGGTATGAAGAGCAAGAGTCTACATGAAGAATCCAAGCTCTAATATCCTGTGGTGCAAGATAGCACTGCTGCTCCATGGGTGACTGGCTGTCCAGTTGTTGGGTCAGTGGGCTGTTTAGTCCTCAGCTATCCATTTTTTATAAATTCTGAGCAAGAGAGTTTCTTCCAGAGGTAAAGTCAGGTGCCTTCATCTTTTAAATCAGAAGTTATACTCAAGATGTGTTAGGAAGCTCAAAATTATTGAGAACTGGTAGAATAACCTCTCTTGTTGATTTAAAATCATTTTATTTACAGAAATTGTCTTGCACTGTAAATGTTAAATAATCTGGTGCTTATATATGACTTCATAATTTCAGATTGTTTTTGTTATTACAGTGTTTCAGCTTTTGAAGCAACCAAAATTATTAAGATATGGTCAATTTCTACAGACTAACTGAAGGTGCTTTTACAGTAAAGTAGGCTTGGAAATGTCACTACTCTTGCATAATAGGTTTTTGTTCTTACGCATTTATAGCAATAGTGTAGTTCAAGAATGAAAGTAGGCTAAATGCTAGTATTTGCACTGTTCTTAATCCTGTATATAAGCACTGATAGATGCAGTAGGATTTGTGCTGTGTGTGCATTTCACAGTAGATCATGAATTTATAAGGAAGACAACGTATGTAGCAATTACATTGGCCATATTCAAGATCATACAAGAGGAAGTATTCTGGATTAGTAATCATCAAAATTTCACAGGGTACAGAATGTTAAATTTGAATAGGTCCACTATGAAATTTATTGAAAACACTGAGTATTTTGTCATTGTTAAGGATTTATATTGTTGATCAGAAGAACTAGCTTCTAATTTCGATTATGGGTTACAGTTCAGTGCCTTTAAGAAAATGATTACAGCTCATGGAGCATTAATAATTTTAAAACAAGGCACTTAGAGCTTTTTAAGAACATAGATCCTGCAAACTCAGTTCTCTACAACACACTTTCCACTGTGAGAAAAAACTTACTTTGCAAATTTTTTTAACATGTTTGAGCAAAATTACTGAACTAGGGAGATGAACCATTTGTATCTTGCTGGTTGGGTATGTATTTTTGTTATGCAGGAAAAGTATGCAAAACTGCATGATTAAGAGCTCTCAGCAAATACTTCTCCAGCCTATACTTAAAACAGGATCCTTAAGTAATTTTACTATGTCTGCATGGCACTGCAGTATATGGAAGCTGTAGCTCAGCCCTGAGAAGCAGTTTAGCTGGGTTTGCAAGGCACTTTAACATTAAAAAGCAAAACAGACTCCACAGAAGAACGTGGATTCATTAGTTTTGGCATAATGCTAGATTGCTGTAGGTGTTCCAGGACCCAGGCTAACTCAGGTATTGCTGCCCAAAGATAACACTTTTCTGTGCAGCATTGCATGCCTCGCAGAAAATAGGGAGCTGGTGTTCTATTATATGGCTCATGCATGAAGGGTTATGTCTTCCTCCTGTTTGTTTAAAGCTCAAGAACTTGATCTGTTTTCCTCACTGGTATGTAAGTGGCATATCGGTGCTAATTAAGCAGGAAGTATGTACAGCTAATAGGGTTAAAACCATGTAAAGTTACAGATTTTGTTCAATTTCCATTATGTTATCTTGAAGAAAGTTTGCATTGGTCAGCTCTTCAATTTTAGTAAATAAAATCTGTAACTACCTGTAACATGCTGTACTGATGATTGTGATTTTGTTATTCACTGATGCAGAAAACTGAAGCACACCATTTAAGAGGCTATGACTAAACTGATACTATCTTCTATACTGTAATTTTTCTCTGTAAAATTAAATGACTTGTGTATAAACTTACTGAAGTACTGAAGTATGAATATAAGCATTGCTGATCAGTGTGAAATGTAAAGCCTGTGCTGTGGGTACAGGTTATTCATTCACTGTAGAATGTTTAAATGTTGCCTTAAGCCAATCAGCAGCACTGATTATATATAGTTCCAAGAACAGAAGTATTATTTTTTCAAGTCAATTTTAAAGGTGGACAAGGGGCCCATTGAACACAATGGAAAGCAAAAAATTTTTTTCTAAAAGGTGTTAGATGTACTGGAGAAAGGAAGTATGTGAACTTCAATCAGTGCTTTTGAAGTATTTATGAAATAGCAGTTTTTCTTTTTGTCCATGTAACTTCTTATTAAAAGAACTGGATGTGTGGAAACGGTTTCATATGTGCCCTTCCATTTCTATAAAGTGCTTGCTGAAGCTGTAGACGGTTTGTGGCAAGTACTAATGTTCTTGATCTCAGCTCAAACCTGTGATCAGATCTCCAGTGAGTTCTTACCAACTTTTTATGTCCCTATTATGGGAACTTCCCTGATAGTGTCACACCATCTCCCTCAGTAACTTACCTTGGAGAAAGTCTTTGTGGTACCTTTAAGTAGATCCATTTAACAATAAGATGGCAAGGTATGGTAAAGCAACCCCCGAGGCAAAGAAACAGCATTAGAAATTTATTCAGAATATAAGAACATTTGTAAAATAAGTATTATAAATGTCTCTGTATAAATAAATGCAGTTTTTACAATTCTATATCAAATAAACACAAAATAGCTATTTTACAGCAGCTAGGAAACTAAAAAGCAGCAACACATTTGAAGCTAATTCAGTAATGTG